CAACCTCTCTGTTGTTTATTTTTTTAAACATATTTATACAAGAACACTAAATTCCTGAAAAATAATTCATACAAACTGCATTTCACATTTTGTAAATTTATGGCAGTGATTCTCCTGTGACTTCATTTTCTTGCTTTTATTTTGACTGAAGCTCTTAACTGGTAAGGATGAACCCAGAAGAACTTTGAACTGTTTTAAAAAGCTGTTTTATTATTTTTTTTCTCCCTTCTCCTTTGCCATGTACTTCATTCGCCATCTGTTAAAGGGAAGAAATTGCAAAGATGTTACATTTGGAAACCATTCAGTGATGAGTTAAAAAAATATTGATAGTTATCTAAGAGAGTAAATTATCTCGACCTTTAAAACATCCATCACATCGCATCGCATTCTTCTCATATATCAAAATCTGTTTCACCTTTCGTGCCCAACTACGCTTACACCTTCACATTCTTACACATCAAACCACGATCACATCACCAACATCCTTTTACTTCAATCCTCCGTCCACATCACCCCTTCTCTATCTCTGTTATTCTCTCTCTCTTTCTTTTCTGTCTCCTTCCTCTCTCTCTCTTTCTTTCTTTCTGTCTTCCTCCTTATTCTCTCCCTCTTTCTTTCTGTTTCCCTCCTCTCTCTCCCTCCCCCCCCTCTCTCTCTCTCTCTTTCTGTCTCTCCCCTCCCTCTCTCTCTCTCTTTCTGTCTCTCCCCCCCTCTCTCATACCCAGACTGACCCAACCTTAACCTCAACCCTAAAACCTTCACTACCACACTATCTTACAGTGCCATACGACCCTTGAAACTTAAGAGATTTTGCCCCTTTCGTCTCAGTACTTTACCATAATGCTATGTGACCTTCGATGTCTAACAAATAAATTTGTTTAAAATACTAAGCATTAAGTCTAACGCCTTGACACCTAAGCCTCCTCCCCTATCCTTCCCTCCCCCAATCACAGTCCTCCACCCAATCCCCCACACTCAACCCTCTCCCCGTGTTCCTCCCAACCCTCCACCCACACACTCACACACCCACACCCACATCACATATATATATTGCATTTTGTAGAGTACAAAGTAAAGGATATTTTTGTAATTACTTAAAATAAGATTCAAACAAAAATCTTCTTTTCTCGAATATTGAAACTCAAATATCAAAATTAATAAATGGAATATAAAAAATCAAACGTTCCACTTCTAGATCATAAATACCCTAACCCTCTTCCCTCCCCTACCCCCATCCTCTTCCCCTCTCCCCATCCCCTGATCCTCCCCCATCCCCCAATCCTCCCCCTCACCCCTATCCCCAACCCTCCTCGTTTCCTTCCTCTCCAAACCCCAACCCACCTTTAGATATAGTGGTTCAACATGGCCCCGGAGTGTTCCTGAAGTCACCCTCTCTCCCTAACCCCGACTCTTCTCCCCTCTCCCAACCCCCACCCTCCTCCCCCTCTCCCAACCCCACCCTCCTTCCCTTCTCCCAACCCTCCTCCCCCAACCCCCACCCTCCTTCCTTCTCCCAACCGTCCTCCTCCGACCCCCACCCTCCTTCCCCTCCCCAACCCCCACCCTCCTCCCTCTCCCAACCCCACCCCACCTCCCCCTCCCCCAACCCCACCCTCCTCCCCTCTCCAACCCCAACCCCAACCCACCTTTAGATATAGTGGTTCAACATGGCCTCGAAGTGTTCCTGGTGTCCCGACGAAGGCTTGGGATCCCCGCGCTCGAGGATGACCTTCTCGCACTCCTCCAGCGACGCCTCCCCGGCGGCGATGCGAGCGCCCACGCCAGAGTTCCACGAGGCGTATCTGGCCTGAGGGAGGGAGGGAGAGAATGGGTGAGAAGGGGAAAAAGGGAGGGAGGGAAGGAGGAAGAGAATGGGTGAGAAGGGGAAAAAGGGAGGGAGAGAATGGGTGGAGAAGGCAAGGAAGGAAGGAGGAGGAAGGAAAAAGGGATAAAGGGAGGGAGGAAAAGGGAGAAAGGGAGAGAGGGAGAGATGGAGAAGGGAAAATGGAGGGAGTGAATGGTTGAGAAGGGAAATGGGAGGGAGAAAATGGGTGAAAGGTTAAAAGGAGGGAGAGACTGGAAAAAAGGGAAAAATGGGAGGAGAGAATGGGTGAGACGAGAAAGAAGGAATGAGGAAAGGCAGAAACGAAGGAAGGAAGGAAAAAGGGAAAAAAGAGAGAAGGAGGGAGTGAGGGAGTGAGGGAGGAGGGAGGGAGAAAGGAAGGAAGAAAGAAAGGAAGCACTAAAAGAAGGAGGAG